GGTACCACTTGGTGCAACATGTATTACTGTAAGCTCTACAATTTTTTATTTTATTTATTTTTTTTAGTCTCTGTAGCACTTTGAGATTTCTTTCAAATATAAGGTGTGTTACAAATAAAAATTATTATTATTATTATTATTATGTAAACGTAGCGCTCCTTCCCACCTCACCCCGTCCTGTTAGCCATGCAGCTGTGGAGCTGAGCGCTCCCAAGGACATTCCTGGATGAACAACACCTTTATCGGTCTTTTGACGGGAGGCTGAGCAACCTGGTTTCATGACCCTTTGACGTCACCGCCTTCACTCATGTCTTTGTTTTGCCCTTTGTTTTGTCTGAATGTTGCCATTTGCCCTAATGTATCCTTTCCTGGTTTGTTATTTTGTTTGTATTTCCTTTTAATTCATGTAAAGCACTTTGAATTGCCTTGTTGCTGAAAATGTGCTATAGAAATAAAATTACTTTACCTTATCTAAATGAGTTTGAACTACATTAATCTTGATTTAGCCCAAAACGAAAATGAGTTTGCCGCCTCTGCTGTAGATTCTCAGTGATCCTGGACATTGTTATCTTGAGACTTATGTGTGAAGGAAGCTGAATTTCTCTCATCTTGGAGACGTTTGGAGACATTTCCCCTCATGTTTGAAAGGCTCCTTCAGTTCTGAAATGTAGGTTTGAGTATCAGACTGAGATGTAATAAGGAATGATGACACTGATAGGGCAGCAAATGACACCAAGTTAATTTTCAGATCATGAAACAAAATCTTAAAGTGAACCTGATTCAGCCAAAATGCACACTGGCTTGAAATACTGACATTTCATTTTATGACTGTGCTTAAAACTAAACATGAAGGAGGAAACGAATCTAGAAAAATACTGGAAGTTCGAGGTGTGGCAACACCAGGGGAAGAGGATTGAATTGACTCACAAAGTGAAACATTTTCGGAGCATCAGCAGAGTTGCACAGCAGACAAACCTTCTCAGCCACTGAATCAAATAGTGGTGAGTACGAATCCTGTACTAGCACAGCAAGTTTCATGAAGTTTGATTAGATTATCTTGGTAGAAAGATTAGTCACTGAAATTCATAGTACATTTTGAATAATTCTTTTGTTTTTTATGGCAACTATAGATAATAAATGATCCATTCTTTATAGTGGCAGAAGGCCTGCACAGATGCACACAGAGTAGCATGGAGCTATCTGCAGTGTTCAATCGATTAAAGGGCGTGGCTGGACAGCATGCAGCGAATGGAGCAGCTTACCTATGCTTTCAAGTTTTGAGACTTTGCCGTGCAGGATTCACAAATGAAATGATGCGTTCAAGGCTGGTGAGAAGCTCGGATGTCTAAGAAATACCATTGAAATGTTGCGTTCAAGGCAAGAGTTTTCAAAATGACAGAGACCTAACTTTAAAATAAAATGGCACAATGTGCCTGGAAAAATACATGATCCCAAATTCAGAAAATGGTTTGGTATTTTTCGACAACCTATGTAAAATGAACCACAGACAACTTATGTGAGTTTTTACCAAGCTGTGATGAAAGGAGAAGACGCAGCGGACCGCTCCAGCGAGATGCCCACCGCCGTTCCGATGACTTCCTGTTTGAGCTCGTCTTTTATTATCAAGGAAAAGACGGAAGATAGGAAAACAAACTCCTCCTGCACACAGGCAGTTTCTAAGTATTCTGGTTGATAAGAGGCTCCTGTGGAAACATAATTTAAGGTCTGGGAAACTCAGTTAGCTGTTTCACATGAGGACGAACAGGCGGGTGGGGCCTCCAGGTCAGTTTATACACACAGAAGGAAGAGAACACTTTAAATAAGAATCACAACAATCTATAAGAATATAATGTTGGGTTAATGATCTAAAGTACTAATAAATGTTTGATAAATGTAACGGCAAACAGTTCGTGTTGTGTTCATCGTGTGAAATCTGTTCCATGATGGATTCTGATTAGCTACAAAATCCCACTGCTTTTTCAGGGAATTTTTATTTTTCCTGGAAAAGAAGAACCTTCCCTTTAAATTAGCACATTTCAGTAGTGCAGCTTACAAAGTTAATATTTCTAGAGTCCAGAAACTTTAATGTAAATTCATGTCACTTGTAGCATAGTGTTCTTGGGTTTCTTGGCCAAGTCAGAAATTTGGTATTTCTATCTGGTAAAGCTCAGATATCTGATCTTTTGTTCTTACAATTCTAATTCTAAGATATCCCAGCTTTTCACCAGCCTTGAACACATCATCTGAGTTATGAATCCCAGGCAGGTAGATGGTCTCAAAGGTCAAAAGCACAGGCAAGTTGATCTGTGCCGTTTTATTGACTGATCCATGGTAATTAGTGCACATGCATTTGCCCAACTGTATGCATACTGTGCAGTTTGAAACGTGTAAATTTGAGTGAATTTACACATTTGTGAATGTTGAGATACGCTTTTATGGATTGTACACATTTGTGAATTTTGTTGCACACTTTCAAATCTTATTGTGATCTTTGTGAATCTTTTTGAGACATATTTAGTTTCGTAGGAGACCCATTCCACTCTGTCCACATACTAATGAAACACTGACTTTATTAGGAGCTGCAATGAAGAAAGAAGACGTCTTGAACACTTTGAAAGAATTAGGTCAGAAAGAGTTTGAGGAATTCAAGTGGTTTCTGGAGCAACCTGAGACTCTTCCTGAACTCCCAGCAATCAGTAAACAAGACCTGGAAGGAGCAAATATTCTCGGCGTTGTGGACTTGATTGTGCAGACTTACACACATGATCGATCCAGGGAGGTGATCTGCATGCTCTTAGAGAAAATAAAAAGAAATGACCTGCGGAACAAATGGTTAGAAGATTGGATGGGAGAGACGGAGGCTGAAGTTCAGGAGATGATCCAGGAGAGACGACTGAAGATCCAGGAGATCAGAGAGTCGGTGAAGATCAGTAGAGATGCTGCAGACAGAGAGAAAGCAGAAGGTGTTCAGGTCTTCACAGCTCTGATGGAGTCTGCTGAGAGAGGCCTGAAGGAGCTCCTCAAGGAGATCCAAGACAAACAGGAAACTACAGAGAAACAGGCTGAAGACTTCATCAGAGATCTGGAGCAGGAGATCTCTGAGCTGAAGAAGAGGAGCTCTGAGGTGAAGCAGCTCTCACAGGATGAAGATCCCCTCCACCTCCTCCAAAGCTGCTCCTCCCTGAAAGCTGCTCCACCCACCAAGACCTGGACAGAGGTCAGAGTTCATCCACTATCATCTGAGGAGACTATGGCGAAAGCTATGGCTCTGTTTGAGCAGAATAAGAAGAAGATATTGGAGATGAAGAGGGTCCAGCGGTTTGCAGTGGATGTGACTCTGGATCCTGATACGGCTCATCCTTGCCTCATCCTGTCTGATGATGGGAAACAGGTGAAACATGGAGATGTGAGGAAGAATTTCCCAGACAATCCAGAGAGATTCTCTAAGTGTGTGAATGTTTTAGGACGACAGAGTTTCTCTTCAGGCAGATTTTACTTTGAGGTTCAGGTTAAAGGAAAGACTAAATGGGATTTAGGAGTGGCCAGAGAGTCCATCAAGAGGAAAGAATTTAAACCACTGAGTCCTAAGAAAGGTTACTGGATTGTTATATTGAGAAATGGAAATGAGTATTTAGCTCTAGCTGGACCTCCAGTCTGTCTCCATCTCCATCCTGGTCCTCAGAAGGTCGGGGTGTTTGTGGATTATGATCAGGGTCTGGTCTCCTTCTATGATGTAGATGCTGCAGCTCTGATCTACTCCTTTACTGGCTGCTGCTTCAAGGAGAAACTCTACCCGTTCTTTAGTCCCGGTCTTAGTGATGGAGGTAAAAACTCTGCTCCTCTGATCATCTGTCCTGTTGGTTGTTGATCTGATGAAACTCCATGAGGATTGGACCTGTGTCACTGTAGGTGAAGTGCTAGCTGGGAAACGGTCTTAGCTCACCTGAGGACATCATTAGCCCTCAGGTGGAAGTAAATGACTCAGTTCACATCTGGATTATTTACTGCAACTCCTTCTTCTGTTTCTGCACATGTTCAGCTTAATCTGAGTTATTATAAATACTGTTAGTTTATAAATCACTAAACGGTTTAGCACCACAATACATTAAAGATCTGCTGCTCTTGAAACAACCTTCCAGACCCTTCAGGTTCTGGTTCTGCTCTGCATCAGAACCAGAACCAAACGAGCATTCAGCTTCCATGCACCACAATCTGTAACAAACTTCCAGAAAATGAGCAGACAGCCAAAACACAGACTTCCTTGTTTAGAATTGCTTTTGAAACATTATAAATTATACATTAATCAACATTCTGATTTGTAACGATAACGCCTGACAAAATGTAACGCTTCAATCGCTGACTGTGGTTCTATGAACTTGTATTTTTGTGTTTTTATGATGTAAAGCACCTTGAACTGCTTTGCTGATGAAATGTGCTACACATGTACACTTGAACTTGAACCACTAAAATTTGACACTACTACATTTTTGTTTACATTTTGTGAAGAAGGAATTTGGACTTGTTTTCATCTGAGGTATTCATGTTGTTTCCCTCAGTAGTTCTTGGTGCAGCGCCCCCAATGGCGAGGAGGAGAACAGGTTTAGCTTGGATCATTTACTGTGCAGTTTGAAAGTGAATCACACCTGCTGAAAATGTAGCATACAGAGCTGTGGCGATCAATCGGCCACCAATCACAATCGGTCGATTTCCGTCAGAAAGTGTATGATTGGTTGTTGCAGCTGATCTCCTCTTTCCTTCACACTGAGAAAACATGCAGCGATAAATCGTAAGCGATGTGGGGAGGAACTTTAACGCTCTGAGTGGATGCATTTCACTTTGGATGAATGTTTCCTTTCTTGCTTGACATTTTTGATATAGGCAGGGTTGTAAGATTTATTTGACTCGTATAATTTAGGGTACTGATAACCTGACTGTTAAATATTTTCCTGATTGCAGGTTTTTCAGTTTTCCTTTTGACTGAATAGCTGCTGTAACGTCACTGCAAGTATTTTGCATGTTTATGTCTAAATCAGGTGAATTTATTACCAGATAACTTTTTAATTTTGCCAGACAACATAGTAGCATTTATACTTAAAGTGAAAATTTAACAGCCAATTCAGGTAATCGGCAGTGATTGGCCTTCAGGGGTGATCAGTATCGGAATCAGCAATAAAAAACCTGAATCCATAGCAACAAAGGTTGCAATTTTGGTCCCTAAGCAAACCGAGTCTACCAGACTATCACAAATAAATAATGATTAATAGTGAATTTTATATATATATATATATATATATATATATGTGTGTGTGTGTGTGTTTTTCAGCTGACGAGTCCAAAATCCGATGTGAGATTCATCCATGCTGCAGTGAATCCGTCTCTCTTTATAGATTTCTCCCTCTTCTTCCTCACATCGTGTCTTTAGGAAACTTTCAAAACAAAAACGGAAGATTTAGGATGTATCTTACTTTGACAGAGTGAAAGAATATAAATAATAGTCTTTACCACCTGTGGTTCAGATTGAGGAGAAGATAAACGAGCTGATGAAGAAGACGATGGAGGCTGAGCTGAAGAGGGTCCAGCAGTTTGCAGTGGATGTGACTCTGGATCCTGATGCGGCTCATCCTAACCTCATCCTGTCTGATGATGGGAAACAGGTTTACTGTGTGGATAAAGCGAAGAAACTTCCAGACAATCCAGAGATTTTCTCACTGTGTTTCTGTTTTAGGACAGCAGAGTTTCTCTTCAGGCAGATTTTACTTTGAGGTTCAGGTTAAAGGAAAGACTGACTGGACTTTAGGAGTGGCCAGAGAGTCTGTAGACAGGAAGGGAACCATCAACCTTTGTCCTCAGAACGGTTTCTGGACTGTTGGGTTGAGAAATGGAAATGAGTATTTAGCTCTAGCTGGACCTCCAGTC